CCCTCTGCGGGCGTCGGGCGGACATCTTCCTCCTCGTTAAGACACAGCACTAACGCGGATAACCGCACAGGGACGCTTCTTTCTTCACAGGAAACTATCCGCTCCTTTACCATCAGCCTCACATAGCAGCTAAGTGGTTTCATTTCGCTGGTAAAACCGGACGCCTCTCCATTAAGTCCAACACCCAAACACCTCAACCACACCCTCCAGCCCGAGCCAAACTGCCGCGAGACGCCCTCAGACACGCCTTATATAGATTATATGACGTCACAACGCACCATAGTGACGTTGCGGCGCGTAATTTGTCCACACACCAATCACTCACAATAGCATTTAGTGATTAGCTAATATTTCGCGGTGAAATACCGCAGATAAGCACACTGTCAGATCATGCTGGGAACTGCAGTCGTGTTAGTTATGGGAGTTTCTCCTTAATGGCGTATATTAAAAAGTTTCTTTCATTGCTAAATACTAAATGGTAAAGCTCTATGGTGACATAAAAAAAATAGAAAAGACGACGATGAGTTCAGAAGTGTTCAGTACGTTTTTTTTACAATTGCTACACGAAGGATATGTTTATGAAAACGGTAGCTGGCTGTTTAAATTTCTGCATCTGAAATTGGTTTAGGGCGTCTTTTTTCATGGGTTTTCCTACGGCTGATTGTAATATCTCCACGTGTAGAAACAGTTCATCATCTGAATTAAGTTATAACATCAAACGTATTTTAAACATTGGCAGTTGTTTTAAAACTGTGTAAGGACAAAGGTTTTCTGAATATTTAAATACATGTACTCATCATGTACATATTATAATTTACAACTGAAAATGACCCTTCATAAAGTGTACATTATAATATACCGTCTAGAACTAAGAGTGTAGGGTAATTTAATATCAAATATCTTCAGGTGAACTACTGAAAAACAACTGTCAGCAAGACATGCATTTTGAAAGAAAAAAACTTTACTGCTAAACCTTTGAACAAATATCCAAAACACGTACGAACAGGTGTAATATTTCAGCATCTCAGTTCTTTGGTCAGCTATTGGCTGTATCTTTTAAAACAAAACACTTCAGCTGAAAACATCCTGTCCATCCACAGGGGCCGAGATCCATTTCGCTTGATTTGCTTGATTTACAGCTGTGGTGAGCATTGCTGCCTCTCGGCTCCGGAGTCCTGGCTTCAAGTCCTATTGGACTGTCTGTGTGGAGTCTGTATGTTATCACAGGGTTCCTGCTGCAGGCCAAAGACATGCTGGTGGGTTGGTTGGCTTCTGGGAAAAGTGCAACTGGTGTGAGTGAGTTTTGATCAGCCTTCACAGGACCAGTGATGCACTGTGATTCAGCACAAAAGTTTAATATCACCTTTGAGGGATCATGGTGTTTTTATAATTGCTTAATATTGCTATGATTTAGCCATAATGTAATTGAGCTCTTCGGCCAATGAATTATGAGATTGAGAGAGAAGCAAAGAGGTCTCTGCGTTTTTTAGAATATATTCCCTTTTATAGAATATATTGAGAATATACTCCCTTTTGCTGTTTTAATACACGCTCATTGAATTCTATAGATGTCCACCCTTTTGTAATGATGATAAAAGTCTCAGTTTCTAAAGTACAAATCAGAGAGAGATGAATACAGGGCAGAACTCGACAGAGACTGCAGCACAGAGAACAAGTTACACTGCACTGATTGGAAATGACAACTGTACTGACTCTGCTTATTGTATTGTTTCATGGTAAGAATACAGGTGCTTATTATAACTAAGTGTTGCACTACTGTTGTCATAAATAATGTTGATGTTAAATCAGCGCAGAATTGAGGCACAGCTGTCAGGTCCGGGTTCCATTCTGGACCTGGGGTGCTATCTGCGTGGAGTTTGAATGTTCCTCCCAGTAGATTTCCTCCGGGTGAAACAGAGTGCTGGTAGATTAATTGTCTTCTGGGAGAAGTGGCCCTGGTGTGTGTGTGTGCCCTGAAATGGACTGGTGTCCCATCCAGTAGGTGTACTCTACCTGACACCGCTGGGCTCGGGCTTCCGTGCGGCCATGAACATGTAAACGGAAGGAGGGCTAGATGGATGATAAGCCACTCGTTCAGGGAGCTACGAGTGCAGTCAGACACGGGCAGGAGGCAGCAGCACTAGGTCTTTCTCTGAATCCCAGGTGCAGAAGAGAGCATAGATCTTCTCCCCCTGACTGAACTCCATGTCAGTGAACGTGAAGATGTGAGTCCTGGACTCCACTGCGTAAAAGGAGACCTTCCTCTCCTCGATATCCACACACACCCCCACTGTCCTGGGCTGCACAGTGAGGGGGAGACGCAGCTTAGGGGCAGTGAGAGCAGAGAGGCGGGGATAATCCCAGTCCAGACACCAGTACCCCTCCTGGGGAAGGACGCTGACCCCTCCTTTCCTCTGCGCGGACTCTCGGATCACGCCCAGTCTCCACTCATCACTCATCTCCACCTCCCAGTAGCGTCTCCCGGAGGAGAGCCCCTCCCGGCTCAGGACACAGCGCCAGCAGTCGAATCTCTCCGGGTTGTCCGGGAGATCCTGCTTCTCTCCCCGTCTCACCCTCTTCCCGTCCTCGGACAGGGAGAGGCGGGGGTTCGCCGTGTCAGGGTCCAGACTCAAATCAGCTGTGGGAATAAAACCGGGGAGCCAGGAGGGTTGACAAGGATCGCACAAGAAAATAAATCCCCGATTCGTAGAACCAGACGATGTGTGAATCACCGGCAAATTCTATGAAACTTCCAGGCGTCACTGTGGGCGTAGAGTCTCGTCTAATCCCTGAACAACTGGATACACACGCAAGGCGAGTATCCATATAATATACAGTAATCTGGACAGTCCGCTTCCAGCCCCTAGCCACTGTATCATACATATGTAATATTCTGTGTGATTTCATTATATAAGTAATTCTCGCTTACATGATCATTACAATACAATACACTGACTTTAAGTTAATTTAAATAACACTGATCAACTAAAAGGAAAAACTGTAAATAAACTGAAAAAAACAACATGAATCCCCCCTCTGCACCCAAAGTACAAGGTGCTTCTCATGATTTCTGTCTGGATTTACAAGATTCTAACAATTCCACGCTGAAAAATAGACAGGAGAAACACAGCCTTTCTGCCGTTAAGCCTCCTTCAGGTGTGATAGTGATCTGCTGTGTGTTTACTTGCTCTTTATCTTTAAAAGGAGACAGACCTACCTGCAGCACTGCACAGCCACTGCCACTCTGAAACACAGAGATACAGACACTGTTAATCACAGACACATACTGGACACAGAGATACAGACACTGTTGATCACAGACACACACTGAACACAGAGATAGACACTGTTAATCACAGACACACACTGAAACGGAGATACAGACACTGTTAGTCACAGACACACTGGAACAGAGATACAGACAGTGTTAATCACAGACACACACTGAACACAGAGATGCAGACACTGTTGATCACAGACACACACTGAACACAGAGATAGACACTGTTAATCACAGACACACACTGAACACAGAGATACAGACACTGTTAGTCACAGACACACACTGGAACAGATATACAGACAGTGTTAATCACAGACACACACTGAACACAGAGATACAGACACTGTTGGTCACAGACACACACTGAACACAAGAGATACAGACAGAACCGAACACAGAGAAACATTTGCATAGTAAACATAGTAAAAATTTGTTCAGGCATGGAAATAGAACTAGAAATCATGTGCTCATGGAGCTGGTGTACTGATAACGAGTGAGCCCATCAGGAGCTGTGATTTTACACACAGTGTACTTACGCAGGTCTGGAATAGGGCAGCCTTCACCTGTACAGAAGAAAGGAGAGGGTCAGTCCTGAACTGGGTCCAACATTGGTCATTTTGGGGTTTTGGCCAGGAGGGGTAGCACTCATGTACTGGACAAGATAAAGGGCAAAAGGTCTGTAAAGAGTTATTTACAGGAGCAGTGACACACACAGTTAAGCACAGATACTCATGTTTCCCTCACGGAAAGTGTTAAAATATCGAGGTGTCTGTCCGCTCCCAGGCTTTGAGCAAGAGCTCAGAAAAGCAGGAACAGTGTGAACACAGACAGCCCAGTCCAGTTTCCACTCTGTGGTTGCTTGCTGAGTGACTGAGTACAGTACAGTGTACAGAACACACAGCAGAGGAGTGTCACTCAGACACACCAAGAAAGCGTGAACACTGTACAGTTACTCCATGACTTCCTGTAGTCGTCTGCCTCACCTACTGAAGTGTAAATATGTACTGTAGCCCAGTTGTTAAAATGGGCTTTGCCACGTAGGTCCGCTCCCAACATCCCGTCAACTCCAGAGAGCGGAACTGGAATATTTATTACTTAAAGAAATAAAGAATTGTGTAGTTCAAGTAGGGAGCTGCATCGGCATGAGTAGACGGCAAAGAAACAAGTAAAGGTTTATTCCTTGCTGAAAAGAGATGAAAAGAAACACAACGTTTCAGCTGTGGAGCCTTCTTCGGGTCTTGAGAATTTTGTATATCCGAGTCTTAACAAGCAAACTTCTTTATGTCATACAAACCCTTTTCAAGTACAACTATTCAACATTAATCCCACCAAATAAGTAAAACCTTAAGTAATATTAACAGTGCCACTTGGGGGTGTACTTGCACTGACAAGTACAGAAATTGGCTGTATGACTATTAATCCAGGTAGCAAGGCGTTTAGTGTTGCTGCCTCGCAGTGCTGGGGCCCTGGGTTTGATTCCTGGGGTGCAGTCTGCATGGAGTTTGCATGTTCTCCCTGAGTTTGCCTCTTTCTCCCAGGCTGGATACTAGGAGAGTCAGTGTAAAACATTAACAGTTCCTGATCTTACCGTTCCTTATGCTATAATATTGCATCTGTATGAGAAACTCTTGTATCTCACCTTTCTCAGCTTTGCCGTTTTATTTTAAAATTGTGGAAAATATATGTTAGTCTGTTTAAATCACTCCATTGGCAATAGAATAAAAATGATATTTTTTGAATATTTTATTCGAATATCAGAGTTTTCAGATCTAGATGTTTGTACCCCTGATTCTAGCTGTTTACCTTTACTTTCTTGTTTGTGTCAGAGTGTAAAAGCTCTAGGCTGGGTCAAGAGTGAGAGAGTTTCACTGAGAGTTTGATTCTGATGGACCTTTCACTCTGTACATTTATTGTGTGCAATTACCCAGTTTTACAGTCATTCAAAAACTATATACCTGATTATTTAATAGCTGTATTTGACCTGATGACAAAGACGGAACACAACTTTATTTCTGTTAAAACAATTCATAGGCATATTTGTGTATTTAGCTTTTGTTGTTGTTCAGTAATATCATTAATCTATTGTTTCATTGACTTCTGTTGTTCCTGGGGTATTTAAAAGTGTTTGAGAAGAATATTGCCCCCATATCCTGAATAAGCACTTTTTGGTTTTTCAGAGGCACTGTGCCCTGTGTCAAGAGCTGGCTCAATGACTACAGGACAGGCACTGTGGAGCATTCCTTTAAGATAAAAGACTTCGCTTTCTACTTAAACAATCAGGGACTACACATCCAAACATTTAGTCATTACTTCTACCACAGATTTTAACACAAGTCTGAGCTTTTGTTTTGTTTCTTAATAGTCAACAGCAGACAGACCTACCTGCAGCACTGCACAGCCACTGCCACTCTGCAACACAGAGATACAGACACTGTTAATCACAGACACACACTGAACACAGAGATACAGACACTGTTAGTCACAGACACTCACTGAACACAGAGATACAGACACTGTTAGTCACAGACACACACTGAACACCGAGATACGGACACTGTTAATCACAGACACACACTGGAACACACAGGTACAGACACTGTTAGTCACAGACACACAGGAACACAGAGATACAGATACACACTGAACACAGAGATACAGACACTGTTGATCACAGACACACTGAACACAGAGCTACAGACACACACTGAACACAGAGATACAGACACTGTTGATCATAGACACACTGAACACAGAGATACAGACACTGTTGATCACAGACACACACTGAACACAGAGATACAGACACTGTTGATCACAGACACACACTGGACACAGAGATACAGACACTGTTAATAAGTACAGAGACACACATTGGTCAAAAGACATCAGTACAATCATTGCTGTTAGTCAGCAGATTTTAATACAGTGTACTCACGTGATTTAGGGATAGGAGCTTGCTTCACAGCATCTAAAGAGACAAAAGAGGATCTTCATTGTATTGTAGAGTGTATTGCTTCTTATCTGGTATTATACTAGATTATGTACTACAGTCTGAAAAAAGTTCATTTCAGGATCTGACAGTCTCCGCTGCAGTGTGAATCAGAGTGTGCACAGCGATGGCTGTAAGACCGGTGTCTCAGTCAATACGACAGACCAGCACAATTCAATACGACAGACAGACACATCACAGGGCACAATGGTGTCTGGTCCTTGGGCCACTGAGAGAGGTCAGAAGTAAACACAGTCAACTGTCCACACATGTACAGATTGAGTATTGTCAATCTCCAAAATCCAAGCCCGAAAAAAGGGGTGTGCAGGAATGAGGTACAACTCGCACGTAGTGAACTGGGAACAGATGGACAGTCAGTAAAAGAAGACCGATGGGCAGCATGGTGACACAGAGGCCCTTGGTTCAATACCAGACCTGGGGTACTATCTGTGTGGAGTTTGCATGTTCTCCCCATGTTTGCGTGGGTTTCCTCCCACAGTCCAAAGACATGTTGGTGAATTAATTGGCTGCTGAGAAATTGGCCATGGTGTGAGGGTGTCCTGTGACAGACATCCTGCATTTTTCCTTTTGCGTGCCAGGATATTGCATATTTCATTTGTATATTCTGTACACTAAACTCATTTTATTGTATAACTTGTGTAAAGTGCCTTGAATATGCGCTGTACTGAAAGGCACCATATAAGGACATTTGCTTGATATCTTCCAAATCAAGAACACCACTTACCCAGCTCTTTCAAAATGACGGGAATAGCTGGAAAAAATAAGACATGTTTAAGTCCTAAAGATTATTGACCATTAAACTGGCTTTATGTTGGCAAAATAGTGCATTACTTTCAATGTGTAAAGAAAAATTAAATCATCAGCGCAATGAAAGGTCCAAATTCATCTTGTTTTCCCTTAAGGATTGTTTGAAAATTCCAAAATATAGACAATCTTTAAACAAAAACATTTCATATTCTGTGTGAAAATTTGACCGTTTAAGTACAGAGGGCAAATGTCCAAATACTATCAATGTTCTTACCATTTATTACATTAATGTAATATATCTCAGATTCCCACAGTGACTCCTCCTCTGTAAGAAACACACAAAGTCAGTAACGCTGATACAGATTTCTGCACTGATACTCTTTGAAAGAGTCAGACTAATATAATTCAGATTCTATTTGATGCACAGACAGAGCAGAACCACAGCCATGCAGACACACATCTCTAATGAGCACATACTGTCCATTCTCCTCCACTGGATCACCAGAAGTGCTGACGCTGCTGCAGCCACAGCTGCTGTTACACAGAGAGCCACCATCCATCCTGAGGGTCCAGGGAAAAAGTCTCCTGGAAAACAGCACAGGAATGTGATCCCACAGGAACTGACCGACAGTGAACTGATCTAGCACCCTGGATCCCAAAGAATGAAGTCAGGAACACATCAACAGGGGAGCAGACACCCCTAATCTTCTGTGTAAAGAGATCAGTGAGGACTCCCCGTCTGCAAGACTACAGCAACTTCACATGCTTGTTCACAAACATCCACTGCAATACTGCAGGGTTCCTCTCAAACATGACATAACTGGAGCAAAACTGTAAGCTTCCTTTAGTACACATCCTCTTTTAAAATCAGACCTTCAACCAGCGTTACAGCTCTTTGACAGAGGAGAGTCACAATTTATTGAGGTCAGCTTCATGCCACAGTACTGAGGATGATGAAAGCAATTGAACTACTTACAAATCTTTCAGAATGAAAGACAGATTTAAAGAAGAGTTGATCTGAATACAAGGGTAAATTTGTGTAATTTATGTAAGTGCAGTACTTAGAAAGATTAAAGTGTCTCATTTACTTAGTTTAACTAACTTCTTATTAAGGAGTAAACAGTACATTGATTACACGTTAATTATTATTGATACTTGATGTCATCTGGGTCATGTTCAATGGCCCAGGCGAGTTACATACTGGGTGTGTGTTATACCTCAGGTGTGTTACACGTGAGCTCCACTGTAATTTATGTATAATACTCACTGGGTATGTGGAGCTGAGATCCCCAGTCTGGTCCAGGTTGAGAGCTTCTGACCAGACAGGAGAAGATGTTGGACTCCTGCTGGACTAGGATGTAGCTGCTGACATTAAGGAGCCCTTGACTGTCCTTCTCCACTGTGCTGCTGGACAGTGAGGTCACATCATGTCCATCCCTGTCTGTCCAGATCACTGCAGGTGCAGGGAACCAGCCCTCTGACCTGCACAGCAGCTGGGTCTGACCTCCTCCAGGGGAGTGGAGAGACACTGAGGGCTGGGAGCCCAGGGCTGTGGATTCATCACAGGTCAAAAACCTGAGACAGACATCTTACAGTATTTTTTCAGAGTGGGAATATCTAAAAGAATGAAATGTACTGTAATGACCTCCCTGGTTTCTCCTTGCACAGGTGGCAGTATATTAATAATAAACTTGATTCTATATAGCGCCTTTAAAGGTGGCTTCTCAAAGCGCTTAAATAAGAAGAGAGGCAGGAGGCTGGAACTGCTTCCCACTAGTTTGTTGCCCTGGGCTGGTACAGGGGCATGCTGGTCCCTGAGAGAGGAGGGATAGATAGGAGCCAAGAGGGAAGAGAGAGAGTAATAGCTCAGCCCGGGGTTAGGCGAGAGAGAGGGAAATTGGCGAATTTGGAGCAGTCAAGGTAGTGTTTTCAGGCTCCCAGGCTGCCTGCTTCCAGGCGCAGGACGCTACAGCACTGCACCAGAACCAGCCAGATAAAAACAGCCAATAATAAAAAAAAAACCTCTACAAATCCAAACATTTAAAGATTAAACTAAAAGTAACAGTGTCTAGCATTTTGCCTTAAGCCCTTTTTTCACACAAGTGTGGATTGTGTGATGTTGTTAAGGTTTTTTTTTAGATATTTGATTATTAATTCTTACTCACTGTCAAATGTCTTGCCATCATGGCGTTATATGTGACATATGGTTACCCGATATAGAGGGCTCTCCTGAATGGCCAGGAGCGCTTCAGCTGTGTTGTAACAGACTCCAGAAACACAGCTGTGGGTAAAATAAAACCGAAAACTAAAACAACCACCTCGAGCCCTTCACTAGAGGGCCTCCATCGTTCGTGAGCAGGTTCACATGGTGGATTACTGGGTTAATAAATAATCTGGCAAGGGACAGAGAGTCACAGACTCGCACTGGGATTAATTTTGACTCCCCATCCATTTCCTAACCTCTGTATCCAGCTCAGGTTTGCGGGGGGTTTCCTGACAAGCAACAGGCGCAAGGTGGGATACCCCCTGCAGAACCAGTCCACCCCCAGTCCACTCACACCAGGGTTGGTGTTCCCAGAGTCAAATAACCTACCGGCATGTCTCTGGACTGTGGAAGGAACCCGGAGCACCCAGAGGAAACCCACACAAACGTGGGGAGAACATGCAGACTCCACACAGACAGCACCCCAGGTCTAGAACTGAACCCCCGGGGCCCCAGAGGTGAGAGGCAGCAGTGCTCACCACTGCCCCCACTGTGCTGCCCTGACAGCCTAACGTAACATGTAAACAGTCATCCAAAAGTCCGGTGAAATACTTACAGGTAAGAGCCAGGTCTATGAGAACGTCTTCATAATGTTCCGATGACTGCACCAAGCATTTGTACCACCCCCTGTCAGACTCCCGCACGCCACTCAGCCTGAGAGACACGTTGCCCCTGGGGAGCTCCTGCAGGAACAGCTCAGCCCTTCCACTGTAGTTCAGGTTCTGCCCTTCCACGTTGTAGCTGCCGTACTGGAATAAACACACAGGGGAATCGTAATCCTCCCGAAACCACCTGACCTCCAGGCCCTCAGCGCTGACGCTGGGCGAGAGGGAACAGGGCAGGACTGCGTCTTCACCAGGGGACACCACAACGGGAGCAGCAGGACCCACAACCTGGAACCTCTCTGAAAGAGAAACATCACAGCAGGATGGGCTCAGTCTGGATGGCCAAGTGGTCTAAGGCACTGTGTTCAGGTTGTAGTCTCCCTTGGAGGTGTGGGTTCAAATCCCACTCCTGACACAAAGCTTTTCAGGCGGAGCGGTGGCATTGTGGCTCGGGATCTGTGCTTATGGCTCGAAGGGTTGCTGGTTCAAATCCTGTGGGCCGGAAGAGGAATCCTACTCTGTTGGACCCTTAATCCCCACTGCACTTTCTATAGTGCAGTGGTAAAAGTTCATGAGGAACTGCTTCCTCACACTGCATTCCTTTAAGCACCACAGAAAGTGCAAGTCCTGTCTTGCTTTTTTAGGACAATCAGCTCATTATTTAATGAATCCTGTTCTGCTAACAGCTTTCCCCCAGCTCTCCGGGGGCTGGTGCTTTGGAGAGTCCTAGAAACACAGCAGACACAGCTGCGCCCCAGTAGCAGGACAGGACACCCCGGTTCTGCACTCTCAGTGCGAAAGAAAAGCGTGTCTTTTAGAGATCATTTTATTGGCCATATACAATTTCTTGCATTAGGAATTTGTCTTTTTCCAGACCCCAGCTTGCTCTCCATGAGACACACAGGCACACAGACAGGGAGAGAAGCTGGGGGTCAGAGCGCAGGGTCAGACATTTATACAGCACCCCTGGAGCAGCTGGGGTGAAGGTCCTCGCTCAGGGGCCCAACAGAGTAGGATTCCTCTGCCAGCCACGGGATTCGAACCGGCAACCTTCCAGCCACAGAGCCACCGCCCCGCCCCCTTTTTGTTTATTATTTACTATACCTGGTCTGGAAACAGAGGTCTGCTGGAGGAGAAGCAGGAATGTAAGGAGCCAGTCCAGCTGGTCAGACTTCATTCCTGCACACAATGGAGATTGTTCACACTGGCTCATCCTGGAAGCACACGGACGCACACGGAGTGACGGAGCTTTTCTAATTAGTCCCCGAAACAGGCGCTCAGAGCCACAGTCCCAGCAACTGTATCTACAACGAGACAGTAATGAGATACTACAGACAGAAGGGGAATTCTCAGGCTGTGCAGAGACCAGTCAGTGAGACCAGGAGCTGTCTAAACAGGGCATAAGTAAGCAGAGAATACAATTCCCTAACGTGGGTTTTCGCTCCTTGTAGGAGAACAATGATGGTGTTAGTGCCGATATTCCCCCAGTAGTAGGTGTAACACGTGTTTATTTGTAATATTATTACTGTCAGATGGAACTTGCGAAGGTTTGGAAAGTCTTATCAATCCGGCCATCCGAAAAAAAAAACATCAGAATACATTATTCGCAGGCGGCCGACTAATCCTCACTCCTCATTAGTAACTAGGAGTTACTCGGCTGATGAGCGTTTCGTGTTTACTGTACCGCATTCGTCTCTGGGGGAGTCTCCGCTTTCATCCCCCGTGCTCTGAGGATCAATCCCGGGTTGTTTCGCCGAGTCCGGGCGCTCGGTTCTTCTCGCTGAGCCCAGCCGAAGGACTCGGAGAACCGAGCGCACGAATCCTTTGGCGATCCGCTGACAGGGTTCGTGCCCGGAAGGTGGAGGCGTTCGCCTGCTGCCCAGCTCTCTCATCCGAAACGGGAACTTTCTCCGCCTCGCAGGAAGACTGTGCGCTGGTTTCAGACACAGATCACCTGACCCCGATGAGCTGTAGGCTGCAAGAGGTTTTACCATCTACCCGTCTTTCATTCCTGCCTTGTATTTGAAATATTACATGGCTTTTATAGATCAAGCTCCCTCGAACACTGCCAGACAAATTAGCCAACAGCTCAGTTCCGCAGAGTGGCTCTTTGAAGACGCGGTCAGGGTCAGGAGCTCGCCGAGTGTGGGTCTATCACCCGATACGACCTGTTTCCAGTCCGGCTGCAGTAGACATCCTCGGCTCAACATTTCATCCTTGGGTCTTGACAAGCGCTGTACTGCTTCACACGCACATTTCTGCTTCTCTCTTTCACTTTCTCTCTCTCTCTCCAGATGAAAACCCGGTTTTTGCATTCGGGAAAACCTATCGGTTTATCACGTTGTAGCCCAAGAGCGGCCAGACTTCCTCAGAGACACGTTGGAGGAAGATCTATATTCAGATCTGTATAAGATAGAGACCCGCAAGGGCGTATCACGTTTTCGTGAGCAAAAAGCTAAAATAATCCCTTCTTACTTTCCAACTTTTTTCCATCCTGTAATTTTTTCATTATTTTGTCAACCCGTAAAACGTATTTTAATATCGTGTTTTATAAACTACACTGCATTATAGAAATATGACTTTATGAAAACTAAACTTTGCGTTTGCCCTAAAAAGATCGTTTTAATCATTCTTACACTTATATAGCGCTTTTCTGGACACTCCCCTCAAAGCTCTTCACAGGTAATGGGGATCCCCTCCACCACCAGTGTGCACCCCCACCTGGATGATGCACACAGCTCTCTGTATCACAATGGATTCCAGATGGGTTGTATTTAAGTCATGGGACACCCGTTAAGTATGTGTTGTTGGTCTGAGGGACTACTGCTAATATACTGCAGAGAGGTGTTAAATGTTAATGACAAAATTATACAGATTATGACCTTGATTGCTGCAGTGCAACAAAATCGATAAGATATATTGTAATATTATTATATAATGTAACACAACAGGAGCTCTGGCGGGCACCCTTGCCACATGAGGTCAGCCCATCGGGGGCTCGAACCCATGACTCCCACGTCACTCAGCAGGGACCCAGCCCGGTGAGCCAAAGAGAGATCTCCCCACAGCCCAGTGGCTGTAATCCTGCTATCACAGGGAAGGGCGGCGACGTCACCTGCTCTGGTACGCCAGCTCTTACACACCCTGATGGCCGTATGCATTACAATAATATATATGACTCAATAGTAAAGTAAAACAGGTAACAATTTCTAACATTTATGTCTGGTGATATCTGATCTCTTACGCTGCATGAAGTTCCATGCACAGCCTTTGACACCCCCCGAGTGCAGTAATGTGAGTATTTATTGTTACACATTGTACTTTTAGCAAACACATTTTATCGATCATCAGTCTTAGTAGATGACCCTTGAAGAATACTATTTTGAAATGACTGTAAGTATGTTCTAAATCAAAAATTCAAATCAGAACAACCGAGATCCTATGAACACCCCATCAGGACAGCTGAAGAGATAATACAGGCTAGGTGTGCAGGTGAAGGTACTGTCTAAGTATCAATTGAATGTGCAGGTTAAATGTTGGCGAAATGTGGTGAGACATGAAGCTCCTTGACACAGCCTCAGCTAACATTTCCGTTAAAGCAGGAGTGGGCAACTCCAGACATTCAGTGCCAGACTCCCGCAGGTTTCACAGACGCCTTTCAAATAACATCTGACAGATCCGCGTTCTTTTCCCCACTCCGTTCAGGGAGGTTGTGGATGTCCGAGATGGAATTAAAACTAGAAGTTAATGCAGCACTCCAAAATTCGAACTCTGATTGGATGTTAAGGCAAAAAGTGTCCAAGTTCGAATTGTATATACTGTACATATAAATATGCGTTACCCAGGACAGGAGTAAGACACTAAATTACTTGTTTCCACACATAATAACAAGATATAACTCATTGTAAGCAACTAAGTGTAACTTGACTTTTTTTTTTCCAAGCATTCCCAGGCAGTCAAAGTTCAAGAAACACATGAAAACCAAGGCAGGTTTGTATTTGTGTGTCTCAGTTTATTTGTACAAAAGTGTTTGAGAACAAGCAGTGCTTTGATGATTCATCATACTCTTTTCACTACCTTTACTTGTGGAAACCAAACTACGATCCATTAGTTTCTGGAGACTGTTCAATGTCATTTACTGTACATCAACTGAAATTGTATTCAATGTAGTTTTCTTTAATATTAAACAAGAGAAATGCATCCGCTGACAATGCAGCTTTTCCTTTGTCCAGATACAGAATAAAATTACTGCATGCATTGTGAAGACCAGAAGAAAACAGCTTAGAAGAAGAGGCACTTGTGGGCTCAGTGTACATCCTCCCTATCGTGTTCAATCTGCTTTCTTTGTCAGAGTAAATAAATATAAGGTATTAGAAACCATGTTTTTTTCCAACATTGGGTACAGAAAGTTTAGGAAACATCACAGATTCAGAGAAGAGTATTAATGATTCCAAATGACGACTTAATGCGTTTTAATTTAGTTCAGTTTAATACTACTAGTCCGTATAAAGGATAGCCGTTATATTACTATTCATCATAATCCAAGAGCTGGGAGTGAATCAGTCTGTTTTCACGAGTCAGTGATGTTTTTAATCTCCACAGTGGACAGGAGGCAGCAGCACAAGCTCCTTATCTGAATCCCAGGTATATAAAAACGGATAGATCTTCTCCCCCTGACTAAACTCCATGTCAGTGAACGTGAAGATGTGAGTCCTGGACTCCACTATGTAAAAGGAGACCTTCCTCTCCTCGATATCCACACACACCCCCAGCCTCCTGGGCCGCAGACTGAGGGGGAGATCCGTCGCAGGGTCAGTGAGAGCAGAGAGCTGAAAAGAGTCCGGAGACGAGTTGCATTCCAGACCCCAGTAACCCCCTTTGGGAGTGAAGTCGAACCTCCCTTTCCTCTGCGCAGACTCTCTGCTCACTCCTATTCTCCAGTCCTCGTTGCCCTCCACCTCCCAGTAGTGTCTCCCGCAGGCGAGGCCATCCCGGCTCAGCACACACCACGTGTAATCAAATCTCTCCGGGTTGTCCGGGAGATCCTGCTCCTCTCCCACTCTCACCCTCTTGCCGTCCTCGGACAGGGAGAGCTCAGGGTGAGCTGTGTCGGGGTCCAGGGTCACGTCAGCTGTGGGAATAAACGGGAGACGTCAGGACGGCGAACATTAAAAACCATTCTAATCTGGAAGCACCTGAATACACATACTGTATATGAAAAAGAAACTACACCCTCTGCTTGGGGATATGAAGGACGTAAGTAAATTTGACATTAGAAAACATTCTCCTGTGGGACCAGTAATCTAGGTAAGGAGAGTTTAGACTACATGCATAAAGTGTAAGCGATGTGACACTAATCTTAGACTCAGATCCGTTCAAGCACTATAAAATAATAAAACAGCTTTCTTAGAATTCCAATAGGGAAGACAAGAGCAAGCAGAGAGAGAAAGACGAATGGAGAGAGAAGGAATTAGGAAACACTACTTATGGAGCTATATAAAACTACACGCAAGACTCTGGTAGCAGGGCTACATCAGCACACAGAATGCAGAGAATGAAGGGGTGAAGAAGAAATGAACACAGAACACGAACTAAGAAACCACAATCTGAAGACGTACAGAGGCCTGAACGTGCAAAGTGGACAAAAGGAAAGGAAAGACCATTTAGTAAGTATAATTGTCTAAAATAGAAAGACAACAGGCTGGTTTGATCAAGAGGATGCACTCCAGCAGTGGATAGTTAATGGACAGGCAGCAATGAGGGAGTCTCTGAGGCTGCTAT